CAAAGCAGGGTGGGTCTGAGGACTGTGTGAAAAACGAAGCTGTAGATCGTCATTAGGAGAGTCAGAAAGAACATTGGTTAAACAAAGTTTTGGGGAGCAACAGTAGCTCTTTTGGAAGACCTGGTACAGGATCAGTAGCTATGGGATCAGCTGAGACCAAAAAAAAATGTAGGTATCCACGTTGACAAACCAGTTCCAGTAGTTTTCATTGCCTGTTTAAGAGCACGTAATCCCAAAATGCCTTTTATTGAAAGAAGATAGTTCACACCAGTGTATTGCACCTGGAAAAATCCATTTCCCCCTAACGACTGTGGAAACAGCAATTAATCTCAAAGAAAGTAGGTCTAGGAAGGGTGGTAGATGACATTATTGTCCCTGCTACTTGAAATATCCTTGTGCTTCTTCTTGTTCAGTTGCAAAGTTGTGCCCAACTTCTCACAATCCCATGGATCACAGCATGCCAAGCTCTCCTGTCCCCTACAGCCTCTTGGAATTCACTCAACCTCACACCCAGCCACCTCAACCTCTGCCATCTTCTTCTCCTTTTGCCTTCAGTTGTTCCCAGCATCAGGGTCTTTCTAATGAGTCCTTTCTTCTCATTAGGTGGCCAAAGTATTTGAGCTTTAATGCGCCTTCCCCATGATAGAAGCAAATATCTGTGCTTGCAGTTAAATCATATTAGTGAGTCTTCTCCAACTACATGTACGAAAAGAGTAATAAAGATAAGCTGATGTGGAATTTCTTTTAAACTGCTTCTGTCCTGTGTGCATTGCCTTTAAAGCTAACTGTTGTGTTACAGTTATAAAGCAACCCTGCTGCAAGTCTCATCAGACTATCCAGCACTTAGAAGCTGTGAATTGGCAGCTCAAATGAGTGTACTTCTCCCATGTGGTGACTGTGTGGGATGTGGTTGCCGCAGTTTCACATTTGAATTTTCTTTCATGCAAATATTTCCCAAGCACATTTTCATGTTAAAAGGTTCTGACTTTATAATATCACATCTGCAGTTATGGTGCCCTCATGCATGCGGGGAACCCCATCTGAGGGCACAAGGTCTGGTGCCATTGCCACCACTGAAAGGAAACAAACCCAGTCCCCTTGCTCCCCCAGCACTCTTGGTTCCTTGGAGATGACTGGTCGAGGATCCCACTGGGGTCCATTGTGCTGGGCTTCTCTGCAGCTCACAGGGCCCTTGGAGCAGCACAGCTAGCTTCCAGGATGCACTCAGCATGCAGTGTACAACCTGAGTACTGAAACAGCATAGCATGACCCAAAAATGTGACAGACTTCTTATGCGTCTCCCTTTCACCCCCAAAGAACATAACCTGCATTTTGGTGAGAACAGGGTAAAAAGATGCATTCAGGATTCAGGGGGAAAGAACAATGTGAGAGAAAGGGTGGCTGGATTCTGGGCACAAAGTATTAAATGGTGGCAAATCAGTGTAAAGGACAATCAAAAGGGAAAAATACTGTCTAGCTAGCACAACTCCCTGCCAAACTGTCTACCTGGTTCCTTGAAGACCCACTATGTCCATGGAAAAGTTCTCCCCTTCTATCAGGGGAAAACTTTAGTTGGGGAAAAACCACATCTGGGTGTCTGTACTGGGGAAACCTTGGGCAATCTGTCCTAGGGATATCTCAGGCTTCTGTATTTCCAGGGAGACTTGTTTCTGGTATCCATGCTGGAAGAAAAAAGCCCCCATTTCCTTTATCAGTGGCCTGTATTCCCTCTGGTCCCTCCAAGCTTGCTTGAGGAAGTTTCAGAGGAATCTCTTGTTTGTATGTCTGCTGACTGTTCTGCAATGGTTCATCGTCAGTTCTGAGATGGATTCTAGGAGATGCCTGCTGTTTAGACACCTGGAGAGCTTACTATTGGATAGATCAGCTAAATGGGGGTGCTTGGCCAACAGATAGCCTTAGCCAAGCCATCTACATTGCAATGTGAGTGTCAGGTCACCTGGCCTTTTGCTTAAGCATCCAATTGCAAAAGTGAGTTGTCTCTTGAACCAGAGTAAGATTGAGTCAGTATGGACTGAGTGGGCTTCTTCAGGCTGACTGTAACTGTAGTACACTGGAATGGCTTAAGAAATAGAGCAAGCAAGAGAAAGAGGGACAGAGAGATGAATCCTGCTTCCTGCATGAGTGTAGGATTCTGCTCCTTGTACTAAAGGCAAAGCACTGTGTGAAGCCCACTGTTCTGGTGCTGAGAATATACAGAATGCATGATACTGTGTGAATATTTTTAATATATGCTTTTTCAAGAGACCAATCATTTTTAATGTCTATTTATGTGGTATCTTAAATGAAGTTCAAGCTGTCATTCAGTATAGTTTTCTTATAGCCAAAATATTTTAACGATCAATTCCCAGGCCAAATAATTAGTACAATTTATCTTCTCCCTGATTTTGGTTTGAGAGCTCCTTGTGTCTCAGTGGGGTTCATTAACTGCATAATTCAGCCCTTCATAAACATTTTCTGCATTGTTTCTATCTGATGTTTTCTTTTCATTTGCTAGAGAAAACATCCTACATTGATACTGAGCTGAACAGCATAAATTCTTATACTGTAGCCCAGAGCATTCTGGACACTAACTGCAGGAGGGCATTGCTGAAAAACCCTCATAGCCCCTGCAATACTGGGATTTCTGTTTCATGTTACTTTTTAAAGAGACTGCAAACATCCCCCTTTCCCTGTAGCCTCTAGTACAACCAGACACCTTCTTGCATCAACTTTGCTCTCACTTAATCTACATCTTCTCCATTCCATTTAAGCTTATAATAAACTTTACCACTGAGGTTTTTCATTTTGCCTTTTAATATACTTTTCTTTCCCAGTTCCCCCTTATTTGCATATATGCTTAACATTCATGCTAATTAAGAATTTTGATCAATTTGAAAGCTTGCTCACTTCCGTGACCTTTAAGTTGGCCCTAGTAACAGCATTATGCTACTCCTAATTTCTATTTTTATATTAAAGCATCAAAATACACACAATAGATCAAAAATACTAAAAAAAATTAACTGAGATAGAAATACATCAGTAGTTAAAAACCACTATTATTTATCTAATACATAAGTCATCATATTAAATTGCTTGATCTACTAATTAATCAATGGCAGTGCAATCCAATGTGGCTGCCCGGAACCCTCCAGACCCTGAGGATTATGGACATGCTACGAGGTGGAGGGGACAGAAAGATCTTTCTCCCACCCTGTAAAGCAAACACCTGATTGATTAAGAGTGTTGCCTCAGTGCGTGAGCAGGGAAGATCGAGGTGCTGCTGGGCCACTCTGAGCACTGGTGAAGTACGAGCCTTCCTCTCCTTGCCCCCAAAACATCCACCCAAAGCCACTTTGGAGGATGTTCTTGTCACCTCTTGACCTTGCAGCTGGAACTGGCATGGATCTTTCCACACTGGCTACAAGGACAGAGGCAGGGTGCACTGATTTTGGAGCAAGTTTCTGAGAGCTAAGCCTCACCCATGCCCATCTAGACTGTGCTTTCAGGCCGTAAGATTACGCCTGAATATCCATTCTGTATTAATTACTGGAATGGTCTGCCACAATCAGTCATTGAATCTACTTGTCTTATTATTCAGTCCACTAGTTTAGTGTTATGGTCAATGGACTAAAATTGAAATGATTACAGTTGCAGTTAGTTGGTTTAATTAAATAACAAATATAGAAACAGTAGAAGTTAAAATCAGCAGCCCATGCAAATCCCTTAAGGATGTTTGCAAGAAACTTACATTAACACTCATTTATCTGCGAGAAAAAGAGACCAAATAGGTGTCTGTTCTTGGTCTCAAGAGAGACCAAGCAAGTAATCAGGAATTACTTGATAGCAATTTCCAGAATAAAAAATTACGGAAGAGAAGGGTACGACCCAATGCACTTCCATGTCATTGTACAGTCTAACCAACAGAACAGGTGGAGTGCATAGATTTTAATATATATAGCCGAGATGGTACCAGTTTTTAAATTAATTGTAGTTTTTATGAATGTTGTGAGCCGCCCTGAGGTTTTGTTGCGATGGGGCAGCACAGAAATGTTTTAAATAAATAAATATCTTCCTACCGAGACTTGGGAAAGCGGGATACTAAGCACAAGTAAAAGCTATATGGTCTAGCAGCGTAAACATTCTTGATGGGCTCAGGCAGTACCATACAGAACACGTGGAGCCCTGAAACAAACAACGCTTGAGTACAGCGTCCCAGCTACTCAGTCCCAATTCCCACTGCTAGTATTCCTTTTTCCTGTCCAACACTCAAGCAGCAGCCTCGCTCGGCGGTTGGATTCCCCCACATTTGTGCCCAATTCCAACTATATGCCAATGTAATGTTGTAAATGCAACGTAAACGCAATGGAATGGCTTATCAGTTAATTGATCCCCCCCCCCCCCAGATGGATTTCTATGGACAGCTCTGTCCAAACGCTCGCGCAAAGTGCCCCGAGGCTCCAAAGCGCGCAATAGTACTCTCGAAGGGAGCCACGCACTCCATGGCGCTTCACAGCCCTGACAAATAGCTCCGCCTTGTCTCCGTCCCTCGACGTCACTTCGTTCTGACGCTAGCGGACGCGCAAGCGCCCTGTAGTCAGTCCTTTCTGCCCGCGAGAGAGGGCGCTGGCACTCGCTGTCCGAGCGGGGCTCTCGTGCGCGCGCGCGCGCCTCTTTCGTTGGGAGAAGGCTGGTGGGGGCGGGGCCTCGCGCGCAAGCACGCGGAGGGAGTAACCGTTGGTCGGCCGGCCGGCCGGCCGGTGGGAGGGAAAAAAAGGCGGTTGCTCGCTGCCGCCGGTCTCGCGCTCACCGCCCGCGCCCCCCCCCCGCCCCCTCGGCCCCTCACGGTTGGCGGCTGCGGGGGCTATGAGAAAGCGGCTTCGAAAGGGGGCGGTGATGGCCGTTGCCGCTGGCGCCGCCGCCACCTGGCGCCTTCCTCCGTTTCCCCTCCTCGGCCCCTGACCACGGGGCTCTCTGCGTCTGCCAGCCCTGAGGAGGGCCTCAGCACCCACCACCCTAGCCGGTGGGAGGTGGAGAGCGAGCGCCGCCGCCGCCGCTTCCTCGCTCGTCCCGCTGCCGTCCTCAATGTCTCCCCCGCCGCGGGGAGACCACCCCATCCGCGCCGCTTCGGCCCACGGCACCCCTTTACGAGTCCGGCCTCGGCCTCCCCTTCCCAGCGGCCGGCGGCAGAACCAGCCACGGCTCCCCGAGTGGCGGCACAGCAGCGACAGCACCGGCCAGGCCGCCCCCACCGCAGGCACAATGAAGGCGGAGGTGGGAGACAACAGCATGATCAACCTGTCGGTCCAGCAGGTGCTGAGTCTGTGGGCGCACGGCACCTCGCTCCGGCACCTCACTGGTAACGGTTGGGGAGGGGGAGGCAGGCGCGGTGCGTGGGGAGGCTTTTGGGGTGGGTAGTCGCGTGATGGTGGCGGTGGGCGTCGAATAGCGTGAGTTTGAGGAGGGGGGTTGCTGCCGATGTAGACGATTTTCGGTTCAGTTTCGAGCTGATCTCTGGTGCAATGGCTGGGCAGCTCTCTGGATGGCCTCTGCCCGTCAGAGTAGACAATACTAGCCTCGTTTGTTCCGTGGTCTGTCCTAGGTCTAGTTAGAAACAAGTGGGAGGCTTATATGAACATTCAAAGGTAAGTGAACATAAATGGAGAGTGAGGTGTTATCGAATTGGAGTGTTGGAGGATTCTAGGATAACAGTGGTGGAGGTGTCAGCAGTCCATCCTCGCTGTTGCATCTGTGGGATGCTCCTTTCTCTGTAGGACCATGTAGCTGATAAGGAGGACTTAACTGTGGGTGCAGGTGTTCATTAATAGGACATCCTTCTAGAGGGGGAGGTGCTTCTTTTTCTCCAGGGGGTGTCTCCTGACCTGTGAACCTGTAGATTAGATCATGGGACCTAACTACGATCTGTAGGATTAGGTATCTGATGAAAATGAATAACTCTCTGATCAACATCGCATCAATTAAGAACTTCACGGTTAACTAAAAAACTGCCTCCCCTGTTAATGAGGCTGCAGACTTTTAAAAAATATATTAATTATTAGTGATGCAAAAAGAGTTGTAAGTACAGCAAATTTAATTGGCATGCCATTAGCAAGGCCATAGTAACATGGCCTTGCTAATGTTACATAGCAGAGGAAATACTCAAGATACTGCCTGTGGTGATGCATGTATGTGTAATACATACACAAGTTTCTTTTATTTAAAACTTGTTTTATTTGGATTAAGAAATATGCTGATTTAATTACTAATTGATTAAACAATGAAGGGGACAATCATATGTTCCATAGACCTCATCTAGGGGGAGGGATTGTTCAAGTTGCCAACTACAACTTCATAGCTAAGATCTTCCTCTCCCATCCCTTTGCAGCCATGTTCAGGAAAGTGACCTCCAGATGAGTTAAAAGGTGTTTTGTGAAGAAGAGAGGAGACTGGAACAGTCAGGTTATGAGATATTATAAAGCCATTCCAGTCTCCTTCCCTCCCTCTCTGATACACTGTTGTTAGCTGCAAAAAATGTTGTGTGCATGTGTGTGAGAGAGCGCATGTGCTGGGGAGGGTTGCTAAAGATCACCTCTTCTTATCTTCCTGCTCTGCACTGGATGCCCATAAGCATCCAAGTTTGGAGTTTTATGGACATCTCCAGGATTGTAGCCTGTTTTGTTTTTAAATTGGGTGGTTGGTCTCTTGCATCATTGTTACAGAGGACAAGGCAAGCTGCCTTTCATGGAATACCCTTGTGGCCCTGGTGTGATATACCAGATTACTATCATGAAGTTTCCCAAAAGGACAAGTTCCTAGGTGGACATGATGTGGCTCTTTGGTGTTCTTGTCCATTATGCTCTGTTGCCTATTGAGTTAAGCTAAAATTTTGAAAATTTATTTGAATTGCGGATGTATTTTATCCTAAAATTCCCATAATTTAGTAAAACTTATTTCAAAAGATAATACGATTTAAAAGCAGGATAAAATAAAAGACAAAATGTCAGGACCTTGTTTACACCCATTCTGATTACAGTGTTTACCTGCCTTTGTTAGAGAGAAACTAAGAATATATTATATATAAAGATAGTTGTATTCAAGCACAGTGAAAACTTTTTATATAAGTAGGTTAATGTTGTGTGGTTAAATTAAAACTACAGTCGAACCTCCACATTTGCAGGGGTTGGAGCACAGGATCCTCGCAAAAGTAGAAATAAACGCAAATATCTCTATGCCCTACCCTCAAATTTTAACTCTTAAGACTGTTGACCATATGTGCACTGGATTGCTTCTCTAGCTCACTCCACCTCTCTCTGTGTTAGCTTACACTTTTGATACTTACACTTACCAGTTAATTGAAAAACATTTTTTAATTTTAAAAATAGCACTCACCTCATGCCTATGTGAGGTTAGGCTAATATCCACTTTTGCTTGTGGAAAATGCAAGATACACCACATACAGAGAGACAAAACACATGAGTGAGGCTGGCTAGTACCAAAACAAAGAGCATGGCATCCCCAAACAGAGTTCATAGTCCACAGTTTTCTTTACATTTTCTAGTCTATGTGCATCCTCTGCAATTTTCTGCAGCGGGCCACAGACTCCCCCTCCCCCCCCGGAGGGAGGGTTTGGAGGGTTATGGGCATTTTGACAGGATTATATCCTAAGAGTTCAGCGCATTTTTTAATCTTTTTATAATTATTCATACTGAGTCTATTATCTTTGTTCTAATTTAAAAAAAAAACTTTCTCAGCAATGTTAACTTTCTTTTTGATTGCTTTTTTCCAGAGATGTGGTATTGGGTTTTCCTATGGGCTCTCTTCTCCTCTCTCTTTGTCCACGGTGCTGCAGGAGTTTTAATGTTTGTAATGCTGCAAAGACATAGGCAAGGGAGAGTAATCTCTGTCATTGTGGTCAGCGTTGGATTTCTGGGTTCTGTAACTGGAGCTATGATAACCAGTAAGTTTTAACATATTTACATACAGTTATGTCTCTTAATGATGACCATCATTAGCTCTTTTGATAATTCTTTTATGCTGTGTCATTGTTGGGAGCTTCAGTTGGTTTGATATTCAATGGCTGAGGGAAAAGACAATACATGCATTCCCCGGGTTACAAACAAGTTCCATTCCTGAGAAAACAAAAATTTGTCTTTAAGTCAAATTTGCATTTAAGTTAGATCATGTATATAGATGGCCCTCCACATTTGCAGGTTTAGGGACGTAGGACCCCCATGAAAGTGAAATAACCACTTGTATCTCTGCCCCACCTCCCACCAGTACATCCTCTTTGCAGCAAAGAAATGCCAGGGAGATTTCCCTCTCCAGATTGGTGGGGCAGGAAGGCATGCAGTGGAGGCCTTCACTTTCTCCCTGTTTGTATCCTCTCTTTCTATGGTGATGACAGTTTTCCACAGTATTTTTTTTAAATTAATGGGTTTATTGCAGTTTGTTTGTTATCATGGGTTGTTTATAAGTTGGATGTTCATAACTCGGGGACTGCCTATATAAGATTGACAATGCTGAGTTTCCTTATGTCTTCTCAACTGGAAGAAGAAGAAGAAGAGATTTTAGTACTTAATAGAGTTAATTATTTTATGTCTGCACTATTTAGAGGGCTTACATCCCAGTAACTGTCTCTAGAGCACTGTCACAGAAATAAACACTCATTCTGCTTACTACTTAGCTGTGTAGCCTATTTTTCAGTCATTTCTTTGGAGAAGGTTCTTACAGGACCCACTGTACAAACAGTCAAGCTTTCTAATTAGAAATGAGTAGAATGATTGAATATTGTTGTACTTTTCTGTGTTACTGCTAGCTAGAGTTGTTGCTGAATTGAGGTGAACGAAATACAAGGTAAATCTCAACTTGAAAAAGAAGGAATTTGTGTAATGAGAGGACTCCACGTCTCCACTGTATCTGCTGAAAATATCAACAGCTGTTGATGTTGCTGTATCAGTCCTTTCCTGCCATTGCAGTATTTATTACTATAATTCCAGAAATAGTGTTGCATTAGCAGAAACTAGGTTCCAAAGTATGAACAAGAGGTGTATCCAACTGAAGTTATGTTTGTGCAATCATAGTTGTACAACCACAATGCATAAGTGCTTGTGCAACAGGAAAAAAAAGTGTTTCACTAGCAGTTTCTCAGTTTGTAGAATAGCACCGCCTCTTGCATAGGACAGATTGTGCACCTCTGGTAATGGGTTAGGAATAGGGTAGGCAATAGGTTTTATACTTGTGCAGTATGGTAAGAACCAGCACCTCTTTCTTAGATTTTACAGTGGCAACATAACCTTCCATCTTGGTTTTGCTGTTAGGGTTAGATATCGTTGCACGGTTTGGTATCCTATACCATTATTTGATTCTACTGTAGCTTAAGTCAGATCAAAGAAAGTTGACACTTCTACAGATTACAGTAGGTTTTTGGATTAGAACACAAATCAAAATGTGAGTAACTACTTTAAAATGGAGATGAGTAAACTCAAAGTGTGTTAAAACCAACCAATAGTATGGAGTTAAATAAAGGCCCAATCATTTGTATGTTTTATGGACATTTCTCATTTGTATTTAGGATAAAACAGTTTTAAAATAAATTATTGTCAGTAGATGATCTTGTTCAAAAATGATTTTTCCTTTGGATTTTCTTTCTAAGAGCAAGTAATCTGCTGCAGGTAGATGTTCCTTAGGATTTTGTTATTCTGTAATGTTTGTTGGCAGAGAGCTTTCGAAACTAACAGTGCTTACTCTTTCAATAATTTGAGTAGCTTCTGAAAAAATAATATAGTATGTTTCTTTCCTAAATAGATGGAATATTTTGCTTGTGATGACAAACCAAGGACAACTCAGTATATTCAACATGCTAAATAATACTTGTGTGTGTATATGTAATATGTGCTATATTCCTCAACATGCATGCAAGCATGTAAATAAATGTTTTTTGTTTTCTTATAGTAATGCACTCGATGAAATCATGCCATATAAGGCTACTTTTTATTGCTGTACCTTTGTTAAGCATGAACACCTTGTTCATAAAATCCAGAATCGTATGTGGTATGCTGAAAGAGCATGTGGAAACCTTTATTAACCTCTCTTATATTCAAAGGAAGGTCTGTCTCAAAGACTGTTTATACAGATATGGTTGTATTGAATTCATTGATTCTACAGCACTTTGTCATTGAAATGCCTCCAAATATTCAACTTTATGAACCTTTTAAAAACTTCATATTTGGAGAAGTTTTGTTTGACTTCAGGCTCATCTTTACATTGTGAAATATCATGCAATAAATCACTATGTCTGTAGTGGTAGAGGAATATAAAAGAATGGAATTATGCTTCTTTGAAAAGCACAGTTATTGAGTTGACACAGAAAGTTCTGCAAGCTGGCTCCTTTTCCTGCAGATCTGGGCAAGCCTAACATAGGACCTTGTTGTATCACTGAATCCTTTCAAATGATAACCAATGTGGTTTAGGAAGAAACTACATTGTAGTGGCCCCAACATCATGAAAACGCACAAATAGCTTCCTGTGCACTTGTGCCATTTTATGGTATCATCAGTACAGTGTGTATGCTTCTATTAACTTTTTAGATGTAATTGCCTGTTTAATGTTACTATTATTTATTACACTTTTATTTTGCAAAATATTTTAGCTAGCATATGAAAGGCATTTACAAAAATACAAATTAATTTATTTGGTGGGCACATTTTCTTCATCTTTTTCAGATACTTTTCTGTGGTCTTGGGCTGATCATCCTTTGAGAGGCTCACATGGGCATGTAGAGAGCATTTCCTGATTTAAATTTGGATATACCACTAGTATGCAGTTATTGAATAATGGTTTGCACCTTTATAGTCTTCTACCCATTGGCCATGATTGGTCATATCATGGCTTCATAAGCTGAGAACAAGCCTTGTGCCTGTTCATGTAGTCACTCCCCACTGCCATTGGCAGTGTAGCTGAGTGCAATGCTGACATCTCCATTTAAACCACAACCTTCCATTTTGTCTGAATCAGGGAACTGTGGTTACTAACTTTAGAACAAGCCAGAAAGTTAAGACATTGTTTGAAGTTGGCTTAAGATTGTTCCAAAGCTGGTAGCTGTAGTTTTCCAGCTCAGATGAAATGGGAAGCTATGGGTAAGTGACGATTTCTCCACTGCATTCAACTGTGTTAGAAAGAGAAAGAGGATTGTGTGTGTGGGCCAGGTCAAAAGTCTTGTTTGTGATAGAGCATATCTAGCAGCTTGGAAGTATATGGCTGTAGTATCCTAGCGGATGTTGTGTGATAAAGTTTATTGCCTTGCCCAGTTCTGCTAGGTAGAGTAACTTGAGAAGAATTAAATATTACAAAGAAGTAGATGATGGAGGAAATAATCAAGTTTCATGGGAGTTTAGATTAGACCACGATTAGATTGTGAACATGCAGTTGAATTAACAATAGTATGTTTAACATATCAGTAAATTTCTTGCCATCAGATAGACAGTTGTCAATGCAGAACTGAGTTCTTTTTTACCAAAGTTCATGAAGAACAAAATTAATACATTGTCAAGCAACCTACATGCTCTACTGTGTGTCATACTGCTTCTGTATAAATCCATATAAAACTTTATTTAACTTAAGCCCTGTTAACCTGAATGGGGGAGTTAAACATCTGCTTATATTTCTTCCATTCAAATAAATGGAACTTAAGCATTTCAGCTAGACCAGGGGTCGGCAACCTTTAACATTCAAAGAGCCATTTGGACCTGTTTCCCACAGAAAAGAAAACACCGGGAGCTGCAAAACTCTTTTGACCTCTAAAATGAAAATAACACTGCATATGTCGTTTTTTACCTTTATGCTATGTATAAAAAAACTATAGTGTGTTGCATTTATGAAACAGATTGGCGGCTGTGCCTGCACGTGTAGCAGATCGGGGGCTGTGAGCGACAGAGCCACAGCAGAGGGATTCAAGAGCCACGTGTGGCTCCGGAGCCACGGGTTGCTGACCCCTGAGCTAGACCATGCCCCCAATTTATGGAGGTCACATAGAATCAGCAAATGATCTATATTTTGGCAAAGTGCATCTGCAAAACTGTACTTCATGCTTAATGAGATACAGGTGTAAAACTTACTGTGTGGCATTCAGTGTAGAGTAGAAACTGTAATGACTTCTGAATAAAAATATTTTGATCTGTCTTGTGGTAATGCAATTTTCCCTTTGTACCTTTTAGGTGCAGCAGTAGCTGGAATTTACAGAGTAGCTGGGAAAAGCATGGCTCCTTTGGAAGCACTGGTGTTTGGAGTTGGGCAGACTGTACTGACACTAATTATTTCATTTTCAAGGATTCTTGCAACACTTTGAATATTCTGTGAAAACTTTGTTTATAAATGGAAACAGTCTGCAGTGAAGCTTTCCAGAAGTGGCTTCAGCAGCTGATGAATTTGAATTGTGAGGGAAATTTGTGGCATGTGGTCTGCAAAGCTAGAGGTCCCACCCATTCAGAAAGTACTTCCCTCTAGAGTCCAAAAATGACACACTACTGCACTGCACCTAACGTGCCTCTGTCACAGGCAAGGTGTGATCAGTTGTAGGAGAATTGCAAGATAAAGCACCTTGTGAAGCTGCTAATCAGTCAAAGGGTTGATGATGTGATCATTGTTTATAACAAGATTGAAGAAAATACAGGGGCATTTCTGAAGAATGGATTAATGTGCCAAATGTGAAGTTTTTTAAATTGATAGTGTGACCATTTAAATGTGTAGTAGTTGAGTGCTGCATCATTTGAAATTCAGGTATACCAACAAGGCACTTGTTTATTATAATAACAACTGAATTCCTCTCAATGTAGAATGTTACAGGGGTGGGGCTAGGGAGGTATTTGAGTATTGAATTTATATGTGAGCATTGCTGGGGTTCAGTAGCTGAAGCAGAACTGGGAAGTACATGATTGTGATTGATCCTACATAGGAGCTCTTTATGAGGAATTAAGATGTACCACATTCACTAAAATTAGGTCTTCAGTAATTTTATTTCTGTGCTTTTGATACTTCATCAGTTTATTATATGTCCCAAAGTAATGCCACAGATTAAAGTTATATGGGTCTGATGACTAAAAACACCTTACAGCATAAAACTTAAATTATTCTAAAATCTGTAATTATAAATGGTCAAATGTGTACCATATTTTTAAATATAACTGATGACTTTCTATAAGAAAACTAGTTGTATTGATCTTCACTGTTACAATTAAACATCAACTAATTTCATTTTAAGACCAGTAGAAGCCATGTCCTGAAAACAACAGTTTAACACATGGCCTATTTAAACTCTAAAAAAAGACACTTAGAAAACTAAAAAGGAGACAGTTTTTGTGTATGATTCGGGAAAAAAAGATACTCTGATAAACAGAGTATTGAAAAGGGGATGATTTAAAATCTTTGCAATTGCCAACAATTAGTTAATTAGAGGGTAATTATATGTGACTCTCATATGCTTAGCTTTCAGTAGACAAGTTATGTGTGTGATGTTTAAATGAGAGCAGTGGTGGTGTGTAATGTCTTTACTGTAAAATATTAAGAAATTACATAATGGCGAGAAATGACAAGAGACTATAAATGTAAGTATGGTGAAAGAGTAGATAAATCATACCTTTGGGCTGATTCAGCACCTATCATTTTAATGGGGGCACATATGTAATCAAGCCCACTATTGCCTGTATTAGCATCTCTAGGAAGGCTGCAGGTTCTGTACTTCTGGAGGCCAGTACAGATGGTGCCAGCTTCAACATTTTCCAGAGTTCCTAGGGGCTGTCACTGTCCAACCACTGTACCCACTTCAATAGCACCTTATTCATACTGGCATTAGTTGCTCTTTCCTGATTAGAATGGCAGTCTCTGCTAGAAATGTGGAATATACTAGGCATAATCAGAAAATGAAAGACTCTAACTGACACTGCATTTACTGTTTCTCCAGTTCCACTTTTCTGTCTGCTAATACAGGTGAGGTAGGGCTTGATTTCATGTCTCCCTTGCTAAGAAGGTAACATGATTTAGTCCTTAATATTCTATATGAAATAGGGAGTCTTTCTATATATGCATCTGAAAGGAAGGTAGAATCATGGCTGTCATGGTAGCCAAAGTTAATGCCTACAGAAATCATACCTGCAGCAATAATACTTTGAGAGCACAGTGCTTTGTTCTAAATATTGTGGTAAAAATCACAATTTGTATTTGTATCAGATAACTTATGCTAGAGGTTACTTTGCCTACTTTGGTCTAGAGATGCCATTTTAAAAGACTCGTTTTTATTCTTCACCCATATATTTGTAGTGATAGGCTGCTATCCTGCAAGGACTGTATGTATAACTGGAGCTTCATGGTTGCATAACTGCAGGGCTTTGTCTGCCATAGTAGCCACAAATGGAAACTTTGTGTTCACTCAAGGTTCTGAATAAAGGCAGTACAGGAATGGTAATAGCATTAATACTAGATATTTAAAGAAACATCAACATATTTCATTGTTTTTGTTCCAGGTAATTTTTACTTAAATACCAAGCTACATTTGAAATATACAGTAGAATAAAATGCTTGAGTATATGTTAGTGCCTTGAGTATATGTTAGAAATAATTTTCTAGTTCACCATCCACTTTACTGCTGTTCTGTCTCTGCCATTAGATTAATTGTTTAATAATGTAGTTTCATGTGGCACTGGTAACATGAAAAATAGGGAAAAAATGGAAATACTACTCTAACTCATGACAATGCAGAAAGTTTTTTTATTCTTAGTTGGCGCAGTATTAAACATATATCTTCAGGGCTTTTTAGATAGAAAACTGTCTTGGTTTCCATATTTCATAAAGCATCAAAACATGCAGTATGTGATGCTGTTGTGAATGTTAAATGTGAAGTGGTTTCGTGTCTGGTGTTATATGTAGTAATTTAATGATGATACAAAACAAAGCACTTCTCAGGCCCCAGTACTGAAGACAGTTATGAAAACTGTAAATGTAAATTTCTAAGTTCATTGACTTTAGGGCTATATGCAGAAATGTATTTTCATGCTTGGGACTCATGCTTCCTATGTTTTGTGGCTGCCTCATCCTGTTAAAACTCCAGTAGTTTTCACTTGAAACAAATACCATCAGTATTAAAGCTAGGCTGGAAAAATGAATATATTAGATCAGCCTTCATCAGACCCCAGCCTGGTGCCATCCAGGTGTGTTGGATTCCAACTTGCAGCATGTCCCAGCCAGTCATTTCTGTACAGAGTTGTGGTGGAATATAGCTGGTGGCATCAGGCTGGGGAAGGCTAAGTTAGATATACACTATTGCAACACGTTCTGTTGGCATCAACAATATAATTGATTTTGAGCATGACCATGTAAAAAATGATCTGCTCTGGATAACTAAGCAGAACCGTTTTACAACTAGAAGTAATTCTTGATCATGCCTTGTAACACTTATCCTGTGAGATGTTTTTAGGATAAATCAATGTATATCATTAACTCTTTTTCTATAAAAGGTGGTGAAGAAAATTTTCTGTTACACACACCGTACAGTAATGGGTGTTAAAACATAAGTCTGAACAAAAAGTTCCAGTAGTGAAAAAAAATCTGGCTTTATGCTTTTGAGCAGGACACATCAAACTTCTGTTTTGAAGTGACTTCAGAGTTAATTGTTCATTGCATTTTGAAACTGATTTCTAGAATGAAATAGGAATGAAATAACCAAGGAAAAGTTTTTGATAGCAATATTATTGTATATCCAATTGAATAGAATGTGTAAGAAAGGAGTAATGTTCGTAATGCAGGGTTTCATCTTCTAAAAAGGATGAGTTTCTCTGTAATAATTTTACGTGTTGCAAGGTTACAGTAGTGTGCTTTACTTTAGGTTGAAATGTCCTATGTATGAAAGGTATAAAAGTACCTTCAGCTGCTAAAAGAATTGAAGGGGATATCTACACTGATCTTTAACAATTCATCTGAGAAAATAGTTGAACATGATACTTGAGAAACATTCTTAAAAGAATCCAGTATAAAGTTTATGCAATACCAGTATTTGACAATTAACTGAATTATTAACAACTGTCCGAGGACAGTTGAAAATTTCACGATTCAAGATAAACTCTTCCAGATTTTCAATTTGTTTGTTTTTTAAATAGTTTGTTTCATGAAGTGTTCTCTAACCTAGCAATGACATTCTAGGCATCCTTTAGTTATTCAGAGCCACAGGTAACATTTAGGATGCAGTCCTATATATGTTCAGGCAGGGAAAAAGGTCCAGCTGGGCCATGCTAGGAGTTGTTGGACTTTTTTCTGTCTTAACATATACAAGGTTGCACCTTAAATTGGTTTAATTTATGAACACATGGACCAAAGAGGTGGTTTAGTATTTGTTGTATTTATCTGTAATATAACATTTTAAATATATTTTCTTGATTAAAAAGTATCTGAGGAAAGCAGTAGTGTTTCCTCTTAAGTTTTGCACTTTGCTATATTTTGTTTCAGTATGATAAATTTATTTCTACTTGAAGCTTGCATATTTTTGTTGTAGTATAACAAAGCAATCAGCTTTTGGTATGATTAAACTGATTTTTAAAATTAATTATGTTTGAAGTTTATTATCCATTTGTATGGATAACTATATTTACATATTCTCTTTCTCCCAAACATATTTAATTGTATTATTTTAAGGCATACTTTTTCATATGTCAACCACATCTTTACATAATCACACACAATAGTAAGGAAGAAACCTGGGTCCTATCCAACAAGCTTTTTTGCATATGTACATATGATGATTTATTTTTTTTACTTTAAAAAAATGCTCCTCCAAGCTGCATGCTTTACTTTTGGGGTTGGGGGACAAGGAATTGAAAAGCTTCATTACAATATGATTTGTTCCTTTTGAGCTTGACCAGCTTGCAGCTTCAAATGCTTTGGTTCTTTGGTAGTTGCATTCTGGGTCAAACATGAGGAGATTGCTTCTGAAGAAGCCAATCAGAATGCAAGATTTTCTAAGCTATCTTTGCCATACAAAGCAGTGGTCTTCAGATGTATCTGCAAGTACAGCCTGAGAAAATGAATGATGGGCACAATTATGAAAATTACCTTTTTGTATGTCCTGGGAGAATTGTCCCTCTTCCATTCAGTTAATGGAGCTGAACAAGTGAAGGGTTGACAAAATTGTGGAAAGGCACTAATTTGTCCATTAATACAATGCCTGGGGGATAAGAATATGGGACTCATAGAAAAGCTCCCAAACCTATTTCTACTTGAAAATGCAGGCTTTCCTTCTCTTGTACAGTTCTTAGTACATCCACCTGCTAGTCTTGTAGTCGGTGAAGCAGTGCTCTCATAGATCAATTCTCTGGACCCAGTTGAGATAGCCTATGGGTTGTAATAACCTTGTGTGCAGCCTGCTTTAAATTCCTCCCCATGGCGTATTGCAACAAGCTGTATGCAGTTGCTCAACACAGAGGTCTGACAATTTTCTGTACAGAAGTGCAGCCACTTTGAAAAGTCTGTGAGGGAAAATACCAGAAACTATTGAGTTAGTGATTCCATCATGGAGGATTCAGTGAATGAACAAAGTATTACAATGTACACAGACTTTTTAAAATTCAGCAGCTTGAAAGCTTTCAGTGCCAGTGGTCTATATTAATTTTATTTCTCATCAGCTCTGAAGTAACAAAAATAGAACAATTAGCACTGTAGTATTATTTAATACATTGTTATACTGCCCCATAGTCCGTCTGGGCACTCTGGGTGGTTTACAATTTAAAAACAATACAATAAAGTTAAAAACACCAGTATAGCAAAAGTCGACAACCTACAGCAGTTTAATAGAATTAAACACATCATAGCAGCAGATGCAATAAAGGAATTAAAACAGATCCTACCTATTAAAATACTTGGAAAATAAAAGGGTCTTCACCTGGCACTAAAGAATGGCACAAGGTGCACCTTCTTGGGGAGCAAGTTTCAAAGACAGGTCACAACTGCTGAGAAGACCCTTCTCCTAGATATCACCCCCCCCCTTTACTTCCTTTGGGCATGGTTCCTTAAGAAGAACATCTGTGGAAGATCTTAGAAGATCTTAGAACGTATAGAGTAAGGTGTTCCATCAGGTATCCTCACCCCGAATTGTTTAGGACTTTAAATGTTAATACCAGCAGTTTAAATTGGGCCCAGAATTCAACTGGCAGCCAATGCAGCTGAAAGCGGACTGGCATGATATGGTCTTGTGGGCTTCTTTACTTGCTCTCTCCCAGCAGCATTAAACCTGCTCCTTTGTGGCTTTTTTTGAACAGGTGACAGAAGTAAATCTTTGGTTAAAAATTATTTCTTCCAATGGTATTCTATGGGTGGAAGACCACTGGCAGAAGCTTTTCATCTCCCTCCTGCATGCCTCCCCCCCCATTTTATCTGGGGGATGGGATTGCAGGACTGTCCAGAGCAGATTGGGAGGGGGTTATGGGGCAAGGAGAAACTGAGCAAATTCCATTGCATAAGTAGAAGATGCACCTAGAGGTTGGCTTTGTCCCAAATTATTGAATTATGTAATTTCCTGAACTATGCTGATTCCTGTTCTTTGACTGGCAAAAATACATTTCATTCCCTACATTCTGACTTAAAAAGTGTTAAAGTGCATTTAATTGGGGCACACACTGTAAGTGCACTTACTGGAGACTTGAGTCCCATTCAAATTATAATGGAATTTTCACATAATCAGTCCAAGATCTTGAGTGCATTCTGAAGTATACACCTGTAAAGATCGATCCCATTCAGAAGGAGTGTGTGTGTGGTTTGTGTTTGATGTCTTTTTAGGGTATGGGAGCATTGTGTTTGTTGGAGACCTAGTGCCTGTGAAATAATTGCAAGGTTTACCCTATGTTTTAGACCTGGATTTTGCACACTACTAATTCTTATATAAACATTCTTACACAAAAATGTTAAAATCTGAACTTGATGATGATGGTTTTGATGATTATAATTCATTACATGTCTATACCATCTATAGCTGAAGCTCTCTGGGCAGTTCACAACATTAAGTCACCCATCCAGATTTCACCCAGGCCCAATCATCTGGGTTCTGACGACCATTACACATTTGTTTTTATATCCAATATTCAAAATTCTTCAGATATAAGGACTGGATGTTTCTCTCCTTATGAAAGTTGGGTTATTGTCAGGGCTGTCTAGGTAACTGTCCTACAAGTGCATTATTGCTGTGTGGAAATCCTTGTATAGAGTGCTACATGTAATGAGTGCATGTTTGCCACATGTATATCTCACAGCGTTTTTGTATTTATCACTTACACCATGCACACTATTGTAAAGTAAATGAGATTCCTGGGAGAAATCATTTATAAAGCAGCCATCTTTAGCCATCTCCAGTCACTCTACTTGTGCTTTTTAATTTCATGTTTCCAGCAGCTAAAATGATGTATGGCAACAAGCCTATTTTTATATCACTGTTTCTCTTAATCCACAAAGTGAGTAAATGATAAAGAGAGGCCTATGACTTCTAGCCATTTTTGTTTTAAATAAGTGGTTAGTAATCGTCAATTGAAAGATGTTACCCTTGTGTTTATTTAGAAAGCATTTCTGCTTGGGGAAATGTTATTTGGCATTTGCAAAATGCAACAAAATAGTGGATTTGAACCAAGGCAAGAATTGATTTTTCCATGTAAAATGAATGGTTGTGCCAATGTGCAAACGAATTCGTATGAAGTCCAACCTGTATGTACAAAAGTGAATGCATTGTGTGTTCTTCTGCTGGCCTGTCCCAATTAAGAATCTTATTCTCAGGCCCAAAAAATGAGAACTCTTTGAGGTGGGAAAGTAATTACAGTGTACATAGTCATAGCTTATAGAATAATGCATTGTGCAAAGATAATGTTTTCATTATCTTCTAAAGCCTACCTACTGATGTGCTGGTGTATATTGCATGTTTTATAAAAAGTATAGATCTCAAGAAAGTGGGACAAAATGTTTTTTGTGTATAAAATGGTGTAAATATATATACAATTTTAATTTTATAAATCCTTTTTATTTTCTCAAAATATGTATAAATCGATGTAAATAACTTCTTGAACAATAAATGTTTTCCATTGAAACATTTGTTTCATTAATTTAGAAGAGCAGCATTGCTGTTTTCCATGATAATGTGTCCTAGGATGCAGTCATAGGCACACTCACCTGGAACTGACACAGGAAATAAGTTGTGAAGCTGTTTTTCTTTGCAGTTTCTGTTCCTGTCCAGAACCTTTACTGGAATTTTCTTGAGCTGAGATGTTTATGTGGCAAGGCCAGATTTGATCCCTTTGGTGCATGTGTAAAGGTTTTGCCACTTTTCCTTCATTTTCTCCTTGACTACCACACTCTGGAGGATTTTCCTCAAATCACTGACATTTCTGATGGCTGAGCTGAGCATTGTGTACTGTTGTCCTTTATCCTTTTCTTCTATCTAGTTTTTTGTCTGTGGCATTATTTTTTCTTTGTTTAACATTTTATGCCTTTGTTTTTTGTGAGTGTTTTGCGATTTTATGCTTTTCTTGCATCTGTGCTCCTTCAGGTCCTATTAAGTAAATGTGCCTCCTCATTTGATTTTTCAAGAGCTGTTCTTCAAGACTTTAGGTCAGATTGCAACCTGTGAATAGCTCATGATGCTTTTACTAAGCACTAGGCTCTTGATGTTCACAGATGGAAATGCTTGGTTAGGTGTGTTGCCCAGTTGCCATAAAGAAGATGCACAAGTCCTAGGCAGGAACACCATACAATAGGTAGGCTTCCTGTCTAAATGCCTCAGCTCTAGAAAGTTCTAGGAACAGATCTTTGCAGGCACAGAACCTACATGACAGCTTGAAGAACTATAGTCACAGATGGGCAAACTGTCCCTGAAACTCTCTATGATGTTATATACAATAGCACAAGTTGAATGTGTTCAGATTTGATTTCAACACTCAACTGCCTTTCCAAAGACCTGGTGTTCAAGGTAGCAAATATTAAAGCATCTTTAAATATTGTACCACTGAAGAACAACAAGAATAGCCAAGAGAAATTTACATGCAAAAGATACAGTAGACTAAGAAGAGCCTTGGCCTGCTACCTAAATACTAGCTGGTTATCGCTGGGGAAAGAATTTCATAACATAAGATACTAACCTGCATCTTTATCAGCCTGCTATCTTAGCAGGAATGCATGTATTCTGCAGGAGACTGCTCCATGGGTCTGGTGCTTTGGAGTCAAGGTCACCCTTTCAGCTAAGTGATAATGGTCTCAAGCACAAGATTGTTCACACGGGTCTCCCTTTCACACTTTATGCTGTTTCCTACATCTAATCCTGGCTGTTTATCTATTCAGCAAAGAGCTTTCCTTAGTGTGAGCAGGACCTGGATGTGACTGTTCACCATCCCAACAACTGGTATCCCAAAGTAGAGGATCAGGAAAGGAATGAACATGTCAGCTGAGCAATTTAGCAGGAAAAATCCGCACAATTGCAGCCTCCAAGTCCGAGTGAAGAATGAGTCTTTGTGCTGGTTTTAACTTGATAACCTAAATAGGTTATATTGCTCACTGAAATCATGTGGTATCCTAATC